GTTTTTCTCATTGCTTCATTTGGGGTGTCTTGGGGTGGGTAAATTCACACATTAAGCTTGTGTCTTTATGCATTCTTTATGTATTTGAAGATCTTAACAACCCCAGATCATTAGCAGCTTTATTAGTTTTGTTTCATTTGTTAAAGTTTTGATTTTTACTTTGTGATGTAGTAGTATTTGATTGAAGAAGTTAGCTTTAATTCTTGATATCTGATATGGGTTTTTCTCATTGCTTCATTTGGGGGGTCTTGGGGTAGATGAATCAACACATTAAACTTGTGTCTTTACACATTCTCTATGTATTTGAAGATCTTAACAACCCAAGATCATTAGTAGCTTTCTTGGTGTTGTTTAATCTGTTAAAGTTCTGATTTTTATGTTGTGATTTAGTATGTGATTGAAGAAGTTGGCTTTAATTCTTAAATTCTGATATTGGTTTTTCTCGTTGCTTCGTTTGGGTGTCTTTGGTTGAGTAACTTAAAAAAAAAAAAATCTTCAAGATTTATGGTACCTGAGGTTCTGTGTTGTTGGATCACTTAGTTAGGATTCTTAAAGTTTGTTCTTTGTTTTTTCTCTTTTCGGTGTAGCTTTCTTTTTGTGTATTTTGCAAAAAATTTGGAACTTTTTCTTTTTATGTTTCATCCAGATCTGATCTAAGATGTTTTTGTTTCTTTAGTATACAATAGTTGTTTTTTTCTTGGTACTTTCTCGTATTGCTCTGTCATCAGATTCTGTTATTCCTTCCTGCAGTTTGGTAAAGCAATTTGGAAACAGTTTTTCACTTTTGCTTCTGTGGATTGGTTTTTATAAATTGTTTCTGTACCCTTTCAGTTAAGGTATCTGAATAGTCATTTCTCTGTTAATGGTTTGACAGAAAAAATAGTTGAATCTATTTCTAACCATTGATCTTTCTCACTCTTGGTGCATCTTTACAAGACTCCAAATAATCGAATTGTTCCCTTTCATTGAGCAACTTTTGCCAAATTGAAGTCAACTTGTTGTTTAAACTCGTGTCGTGACTGAGGGGAATACAGTAGGAATCATGATTTTTGGTTCTTTCTTTAGCTTAATCCTAGAACTAATAACCCATAGGGAAAGTGATAATGAGAGTGGATGCTGGCAGAAATGTCCTTCAAAAATGTGTTCTAATTATCTGTTCTCGTTGTTGCTATAAGCTATTGCTGCTTGTACCTTTCATGATTTCAGTTTCATTAATTTCCCATCCTCTGGTCATAGGTACACAACATGGCTACCCCGACAAGAATTGGTCTTGCTGGCCTTGCTGTTATGGGCCAAAATCTTGCTCTCAATATTGCTGAGAAAGGATTCCCTATATCTGTTTACAACCGAACCACTTCAAAAGTTGATGAGACTGTTGAACGAGCTAAAAATGAAGGAAATCTTCCTCTCTATGGCTTTCATGACCCAGAGTCATTTGTCCTCTCTATCCAAAAGCCTCGCGTCATAATAATTCTTGTCAAGGCTGGAGCACCAGTTGATCAGACCATCAAAACCCTATCTTCTTACATGGAGAAAGGAGACTGTATCATTGACGGTGGCAATGAATGGTATGAGAACACAGAGAGGAGAGAGAAAGAAATGTCTGAGTTAGGTCTTCGTTATCTTGGGATGGGAGTTTCAGGTGGTGAAGAGGGTGCTCGAAATGGACCGTCACTGATGCCTGGAGGCTCTTTTGAAGCCTACAAGTACATAGAAGATATCTTACTGAAGGTCGCTGCTCAAGTTCCTGATAGTGGACCTTGTGTTACATACATTGGTAAAGGTGGTTCTGGAAATTTTGTTAAGATGGTTCACAATGGAATTGAATATGGTGATATGCAGTTGATTGCAGAGGCTTATGACGTTCTGAAATCTGTTGGGAAGCTCTCTAATGATGAATTGCATCAAGCCTTCTCAGAATGGAACAACGGGGAGCTCCAGAGCTTCTTGATTGAAATTACAGCTGATATATTTGGAATCAAGGATGACAAAGCAGATGGACATTTGGTAGACAAGGTTTTAGACAAGACTGGAATGAAAGGTACTGGTAAATGGACTGTTCAGCAAGCTGCTGAACTGTCAATTGCTGCTCCTACAATAGCCTCGTCCCTAGATTCCAGATTCCTTAGTGGATTGAAGGATGAAAGGGTGCAAGCAGCCAAAGTTTTCAAATCTTGTGGGGTCAGCGACATCCTTGTTGAACAGTCTGTGAATAAGAAACAATTGATTGACGATGTCAGAAAAGCACTCTATGCTTCGAAAATATGTAGCTATGCTCAGGGAATGAATTTGATAAGGGCAAAGAGTGCTGAGAAGGGATGGGACTTGAAACTAGGGGAGCTTGCCAGGATTTGGAAAGGTGGTTGCATTATCCGTGCCATATTTTTGGATCGTATTAAGCAAGCTTATGACAGAAACGCAGATCTCGCTAACCTACTTGTGGATGAAGAGTTTGCAAAGGAGGTAGTTGAACGCCAGTCTGCCTGGCGAAGAGTGGTCTGCCTAGCTATAACCTCGGGTATTAGCACACCTGGCATGTCTTCAAGTCTTGCTTACTTTGACTCGTACAGGAGGGAAAGGCTTCCTGCAAATTTAGTCCAAGCTCAAAGGGATTACTTTGGTGCTCATACTTATGAGAGGACTGATATGCCTGGGTCATTTCATACTGAGTGGTTCAAGATTGCCAAACAGTCGAAGATCTGAGCTCTGCTGTTTACGTTCTTGTCATTGACCTAATTGAATAAAGTGCATGTTGTCACTGCTCGAAATTTTTATATGTTTGTTGTGGAGCCTATTTTGTACCTGTAGGCCTTGGCGGCTTTTCTCTCATATTATGTCTTCCAAGTTATTGGAACCTGTCGTACAATCAGAGAGAGTATTATTTCTTGTTTTAGATAAGCCTCTTAGATCTTCATCAGCCATTACTTTTGCTCTATGGTGATTTGCATTCTCATTTTCCTTGACCATTTAATACATTTATCTTCTTCGTTCACTACATATTGTCTGATTCATTTGAATGATCTGTGCTAGTATATACTGAATAAAAGTATTTGCTAGGATCAACCCTTGGTATGGAAGATCTGGTATTGACCTCTCGATATGGTGCCAAATGCCAAATGTTGAGTACTGGATGCAAGAAGAGTTCTGGATTTTTTTCTGATATTACATCAGATAACATGAACAGGGCAAGTTTCCCCATAATTTAGGGATGATTGGGAACCTACTATGAACTTTTGGACTGATCATTTTAATCTTTTTCTTTATCAAACAAAAAAGTTAAGTTGAGTTGCTTGCTAAGTGAGCAAGTTAGGGTGAGACGCTTTTATCAGTGTGTTTTCTGCAGTTTGAATCAAGCAAATGACTCGAATTCTCTTAACCTTTGTTGGCATGTCCAGTAAGCAATATAAACACCCTTTGCCTATTACTATCATCATGCCAAAGCCTAAAGTTGCTGCATTTTCTAATCAAGTCCATTGGAGGCCCCTATCAGTGTGTTTTCTGAGGTTTAAATCTTTCTAGGAACTAGAGTTCCCTTAACCTTTATCATCAAGTCAAACATTCGCAAGCTTAGACCTTCAAAAAATTAATTTCCTCTCGTATGTATGTTCTTGTCCATCAGTTCCTCTTTCCCATTGATTTTACTTAGACGAAAATGATGGCTATGTAGTGGTATTACAACTCTCTTTTGCCTCTAACTTTGTGGCAGATGTGGAAAATTCTCTCATGAGCAAATTTTCAGTAAGCAGCTGGCCTTACTGAAACTTGTTTGTCAATGCCTATGCATCTTTATTACTGTCATTGTCCAACAGTATCCATGGAGCTTATAGGTTTGTCGTTTTAATTTCCATTACTTTCTACACTGATCTTACTTTTAGACATTCATCTGTTTTGCTAGTTTCTTATATCTGATTGAGTCACTGTAAATTTGATTCTGTCTGAGTTAATTTGCTAACTAATGATATAGACAACTCATTTTTACACCTTCAAATTTTTGCAACATGAAACGTAGCTATCTTAACATCGTCTGTTTGTAGATGGTGCACGTAGCCTGAACTCAAGATGTTAGCAAACTAGTGACAGATGTTTGAATTGTCAATTCTGCATATCTTTTCGTCACATGGCTGGTTGGTTCATCAAAGGTTTTTGCTATATCGACTTGCTACTTCTTGCTTATAGCCTCATTAGAAAGTAAGAAAATGAGATGTCATTTTCACTCTGTTGTGTGAATCCTGAAAATGAGGTTTTGCCTCTATGAGTAAATGCAAGTTTTGAACGTGCACCCCAGGGTGTGGTCTAGCGGTCAATCAAGTAGGGGAGAACTTTGGAGATAGGCCCTGCAGAGACAACAAAGCTAGGTGATTTCCCATCTGCCTAAGTTTTGGTGGCTAGAGTTACTCGATACCTGTGCTGACGGGAGGTAATAGATACACGGAAGAATACTTGAGGTGCACGCAGACTAATTACATTCTTAAAGGACACTAAGCTTTTGAGGTTGCTTCCCTTTCGAACCATTTTGGACTTGAACTCACTCCTTCTCATGTACTCCATCACTTCCTTTTCTTTGATCCTTTTAGACATAATTTACTTTTCTTGCTACATTTACTTTACAGTTCTTCTTATGAGGTAAGTTCTCCTACCAATATGGTTGAAGCAGCTCGAAAACAAGCTTAGAATATCTAAAAACAAGAAACTCAAAAAAACTAACTCTTATTTGAACAAAAATAGAAGTGAAAGATTATAACAAGTTCCTCAATTTCCTGCCTCATAGATTGACTGATTAAAGAGATTTATCGATCGAGAAGAAAGAGATGAAAACTTGACATTTGAAGATATGTGAAAATTTACATCAGGAATGACAGACTCTTAAATCTTGACATTATAGGATATATAATGTATTACATTTGTTGTTCATGTGCTGAATAGGTTTACCTAATCTTATACAGGATCTCTAATAACAAAGGTGAAATATCAGAAATGGGAATCAAAGCAGAAGGATTTACAGTGATTGTGGCGTCTCGGTTTTGTCTCTTAACTCACATGTTTTCCCCTTGTTGTTGATCTGCAATAACCATAACCTTTGCCGCTCTTTGCTTTATGTCCTGAATCTTCTTTTGCTGCTTTTGTATTCTTATCAGACAATTTCTTCTTTGCCTGTTTTTGTTGCTGTAGTTGTTCCTTGCTTGAGAACTTCCTGATATCTTTTTCCACATGCTTTCCATAAATTTGCTCTATGTTTGTGCATAGTACTACTCCTTGATGACTTGGACCAGATGAAGCATCCGAAGTCATGGAATCATCGCTACCACCATCTTCAACATGATCATCACCCTTCATTGGAGTTCCTTCATCATCATCATCTCCTTGATTATACTCACGGTAAGGTGAACCGATATACATTGTCCAACCAGACTCATTGCTGTTGCATTCTTCTGTTCCTCCAGGGTGTTTAGGATACTCCATTACCCTCACTGAAAACTGAAAAACATTCAAAGAAAAAAAGAACTAAAAAGACTAACCTTTACTCATATCCTCCATGCATGTTCACTTGTTATACTTATCTGTCACACCTGATATATCATCAAATTTACTCAGTGTCTTCTTTCTCATAAATAGAGAAGCAAGTTCTGAAATGGCAGTACAAAGAAGAGTGCCCCACACCAGAAATAGCTAAGTAAGTCCCAATGTTCTTGATTAGATAGAAGAGGCCCTATCACAGTACTCTTTAGATATAAGAACTTTTAAATTCATGTGAGATATATGCACTGAATCCAACTGTCTTTTGGCTTCTTATATGAGGTCAAAAACACACTGGCGTATCACTTTTTTACGAGTTTCATATCTGATCTGTACTATTAGGTGTTTCTGTTTCCTTACCTAAACCATCACCAACTATATATCAAAAACACTTCGATGCTGACTAAACCAAGTGTTTGAATACAAACGCCAATTTCAAAACATGTTTTGATAAATAGTTGGTGATAGTTCAGGTAGGAATAAACTCGCAAACAAGTAATACTTCAGATATGTTTTTGACCGTTATTTCATCTTTTGCTATTTATATCATGATTTGCTATATACCATTCAAGAAAAGGGTGAACTTTTTCTCTTATTGTTTATTTCTTTCTTATCTTAATGAGCATTCCCCACTTTATATTCTTGTTTTTGGCTTATTATCTATTGAGATTAGACATAAAATGTCACTTTGCATGTTTTCTAGGTCTATATATAGTGTGGCTTATCTTTTTTTGATAGAATCTTGAAATATTTTTCCTCATTTTTTGGGCTCCATATGGTGTGGGGGTTGTGCTAATTCTTGGAAGTTATTTAAAATAATGGGACAACATTTTCTTAGCTGGGGATTTGATTCAACAGCTTGTTTTCTTCCATCATGTGTTATTTTTTTTTCATCACTTAAGAATTATGGAAATTAAGGCCTCATGTGCAAGAACATTGATGCTTTTAATATTTTTTGGATTGCAATCATATGCATGCATGTGTGTCATCATTTTTTATGTGGAAGTCATTTTTACACATCACCAAAGTTCAGTTCATAATTTTGACGTGAATTATTAGTTTTATCTCCGAATTATTGACAATCTTAAAAACGTTTTTTTACTTTTGATTAACTGAACTTAAATACGGTCCCGATCTTGCAACATGAGTGAAATATACTCCTAATTTCTCGTCAAGTTTAGGGGTGTTTTCAACGCTTTTCCTGGCTTTTTATTAAGAGTCGCATGCTCTTACAAGAGTTTAAAACCACTTGTTACGTCGTGTAGCAGGGAGTGTATCTAAGTTTATTTAGTCAAGTAGAGAGGTGTTTTTGAGTCTGTATCAATAGTTCGGGAATGAAACTAATAATTTGCGTCAAGTTCAGGAGTATTTTCAATATTCTTTTTTTTAAAAAAAATATTGGCTAATTAGGCACTCTCTAAAACAGCTCAAAAGACAGATAATGTGATATTTATAAAGCACTAATTAGTGATCTGGCAGTATAGTGTTCTAACTAAATTTGGTTGGCTTTTAGTTTCATTGGCAAAGGAAGAGTATATAACTAATATTAGAATCAAGTGTTCTAATCTTTAGTTAGTGTGACTTAGTAGTCAATAAGGTGAACTGAGAATCGTGAGGTTTCGAGTTCAAATTCCAGCGAAGATAAAATACTAGACTTCTTTTCATAGAGTTATCCGATATATACTTGTGTTGGTAGGACAAAGGACCATATATTATGTGGAACTAGTTGAGGTGCGTGTAAGCTGATTCATTAGCGAAAGAAGTATACAATTAATTAATATTAGAATAAAGTGTTTTCATAAGGCCTAGTGGCCAATGAAGCAAATTCTAGCAGAAGCAAAGATACGAAATGACTTCTTTCATAGAGTTATTCGGTACTTGTGTGTAGGTAGCTAGGATAGAGCATATATATCCTGTGAAATTAATTGAGATGTGCGTAAGCTGATTCAGGCACGTAATAAAAAAAGTTTATTGATTCTTTTTACAATTCTATTCCTCAATGTGACAGATGAGGTTCATGCATTTTAATCTGGCATTATATATTAGGTTTAATCATTCATTGATTAGTTGAATTATTCTAGATTTTATTGCACTAAATAGAAATATTCCCTATCAGAAGTGACCAACCAATAGAATGGCTATAGAAAGAGCAAAGAGCCATAGCCAGTCTGTTTCTTTAAGTATTTTTTTTTTTTTTGTTCATTTTTTGATATATTAGTGTTGGAATTGAACATGGTAAGATGAAATTAGAACATGGGGAAAGTTATATCTTCTTTTTATTATAATATAAAAATTTAAAATTCCCTTCTTTTTGGTTCTTAGGTGGTGGATGGGAGTGGATGGTTTCATGGTCATTTAGGTGTTTTTTTTCGGTGTTCGGTACTTATTTTAGTGTTTTGACTAATTCAGATTGACGATATGTAAGGTTCATTTAAGGGTAATTAAGTACGATCATACCTTTTTCATTTGGCATGAAAGGTTCATTTAAGAGCAAGTACGATCATATAAATTTTTTTCATTCTTGAAATTGAGATTAAAAATGGAAATAATTAAGGGTTTTAATAAATTATATCCATTTAAAAACTATGTGACAAAGCGAACTAAGTTTCTATATTTACTTGAAATAGTCAAATAGTGGTGGTTTTAAAAAAAATGTACATAATATAACGATAGTTTGTGATTTGTAGTGGATACATGCGGATACATTTATTATGTGTGTGGATATAGTTAGGTAGATATATTGTATATGTGTGGATATACTTATTAAATACGGCAAAGGGCCAAATAAACCCCTCTATTATAGGAAATAGTTTAAATATACCCCTAGTTATATTTTCGGGCTAAATATACCTCTCCCGTTAAATTTTTGGGTTAAATATACCCTTATGACTAACAGAGGACACGTGGATGGCTGAGATTAAATGAACTATTCAATTTAAAATAAATCATATTCGGATATAACCCATCCCGCCCCGCCGCGATAACTTATCCCGCCTCTTGTGCTGCCACATATGGATGGAATTACTGCTAGTAGGTTGCCATTTTCTGGCCAAACTCTTGCTACATTTTTTACCATTTGTTAATATATTTTGAGGTGAAATATTGCTGCGTTAGTTAGTTAGCAGGTTCGACTGAGTAATCCTCTCCACTGGCCTCAGGGTTCCCTTGATACTCCTCATCTGTTTCGGAGTTTTTTGAGACCTTGTCTTGCCAAGAGAAGTCTGGTACGATATGCAATACCATAATTTTGGAGTGTTGTACTTGTTTTTTGTCCAGATTAGTTAGCTTGTTATTTATATTTCATTTTAGGAGTGGTATACTGCTGCGTTGCTGCTATATTATTAAGTTCAGATTTTTGGGCTAATATGTGGCTTCATGTTGATGAAAATAGTTGACGCACCTTAGCTATTAAACAAATGTTGCCAACACAACTATATCGTGTGCAAGTATTACAACAAAGAACTATATGAAAACAAAGTTGTTGAATTTTTGTCTTTCGAATTTGTGGCCGATAAACTTTTAAAGTTTGTGATTGAAAGTTGTTGTAAATCAATCGAGTACTGAAAATTATTTAGGTTATTGTTTCTTTGAGCTGGGATCTTCTCTTGTCTACTACGATTAGGTTGAATTCAATTTTTGGGTTCTTTGAATTCAAAAATAGAGATTAAGAAAAATTGAAGTTCTTCAATAATTTTTTTTCTGACTCATCAATTAAGTAACTGAGATTTTTGAAGTATTATGTGTGTTTGGATGTTGAGAATGATCAAAACTGATTTGAAGAAAACAACTTTGATATTTACTCCATTGTTGAAATTTGAAGTTTTATTGGGGTTGGGCTATAGGTTTTTCTTGTTGTTGGTAGGGACAAAAATTATTTGGGTTTTTCTAATTAATCTCAACCCTTCATGTAATTACCTATTTTGGATATTAATCGAATAAAAATGATCTGGGTTTTTAAAATTGTTGGGACCCACATATTTAACGGATAAAGGGTATATTTGGCACAAAGTATAACGGAAGGAATATATTTGACCCAAAAATATAATGAAGGGTATATATAAACTATTTTCTATAGTACAGGGGTATATTTGACCCTTTTCCGTATTAAATATGCAGATACAATGTATTTCGTTACACCGATATTGTATACGTGTTGATATAGTTATGTGCATTTCATTATTATTATGTGCACAAATATAATTATTTTGCTATGTTTTGAAGCTAAAATAAATGATCCCTTAGAATTTTCCTTCATGTCAACTCCTATTAAAAGGACCTACATTGATTTGAAGATAAATTATATTTGAGATTTATTATTTTGGTATTAATAAAAATAATATCACTGCATAATTTATAATTAAGAAGAAAGAGTTTGTTTTGTTTATAAAAATATCATTTATTTTATTCAATAGAAAAGGATTTGAGAAACCTCATTCATATTTTTATTATTTTATCCCTGAATAATTAATCTTGTAATATTATTTCGTAATCTGACATAGATAATTTATTCCAAATCAATTACTAATTCTTATATAACTTATTTCAGAATTAATAATAAAACCAAGTGTAAAGCAATACTAATTTTATATATATATATATATATATATATTTTTATTTTATTTTATTTTTATTTTTAAAAATAAAAAATAAAAAAAAAATTGTTATAACATTATACTTTTATAATGATAATCTTCTCTAAAATAATTTAAGTTTATAATTAACTCATTATTTTGATTTGATTGAAGGATATATGGGGTATAAGCTTAAACATGACATGTTATTTCAGGACCTAATAGCTCCAATTATTAAATCTGTTTTCTTACATTGGACTAGTCTAATTTGCTTGTTCCATCAAAGGCTGTCAATCAAGAAATTGGATATTTTTAGAAAAAAATTAGTAGTCCATAAGTTTAATTTATTTTATGGTGAAACAATAATTCTACTCCTAAATATATAAATCAATTATATAGCCAAATTAAT